CCCCACCCCCGGCCGCCCTGGCAGCCAACCCTTTGGGCCCCCCAAAACCAAATTTTCCAAACCCGTCACTTCGCGACCTCACGCGCTGCAAAACCCTTCCCGCCGCGACAAACCCTGAACCCCAGGTGTCGCGCACGGCCAAGAGCGAGGAGGCAGTGATGGCCATCGGCGTCGACTCGGACCCCTCCAAGGAGATCCTGTCGGAGATCACCGCGGTGAAGGGCGTCCTGGAGCACTGCCTGTTCAAGGAGCTGTCGATAGCCTGATCTGGTCGCGATCTCGAGATGATCTGGTGATCTCAGATTGCCGCCGGTCGGTCCGTTCGAGGGCCGGCGGATCTGGAGAGATAGGGGTTGGGGGTTTGCCCTGGGTTCCTGCGCGCGCCGCGTCTTGAGGCATGGCCCGGCGGCGTGCGCGTCTGGGACTGCAGGGGACCCGCCGCGCGGCCGTTGAATCCAAACCAATGTTGCGTGACTTTGCGTTTTGCAGGGGTGCTGAGGGAAATTTCGCCCTTTTTGTTACGCGGCAGGCCTTGCGGGCCCCAACCTCTGCCGGAGCCGCCAGGCTGGAGCAGGCAGGGGCCGCCAAGCGGTGCAGCGCACCGCTTGCAACAGGGGCGGGCGCCCCCCCGTTCGCGCGAGCGGCGCTGCAGGGTGCGCCGCTGCCCCCTCGATTTTACAGATACTGCACTTTGTTTTGTTCAAATCCTAGATCCAGCGTAATGGCGCCTTGTTCCCGCTCCTGCATGCGCTTTGACCCCGGGTGACCTCGGAATTGCGAGGGTTGGGTCGTGAATGCCAGCACCCCCTGAAACCCAACTCACCCAGAAGTAATATCTAGTCAGCAGCGAAGCCGCGCCAGGCTCCCCCACCCCGCCCTTAGCTGGCCGGCAGCCCGCTGCGGTGCGTGCGCTTCGATGCGAAAAGCGCGGCCGTCACAAACAGCACCACGGCGTCGGCGCAGGCAGGCCGTGGCGGCCTGCCTGCGAGCGTCAAGGCCCGGGCCCGCAGCGGCCCAGGCAGCAGCCAAAACGAGCAGCTGCCGCTCTGCCCTTGTGCTACATCGGCTGCTCATGGAAACAACATGACCCTCCTTGGCTATCACTGCCACCTGGTAAACCTTACATACTTGCAAGCTCCTACGTCAGCGGAGAAACACGGCTGCCAGCACGGCGCGTCATCGGATGCCGAGCCAGCAGGGGCATTACACGCTGTGCCACTATACCCAGCATATCGGGCGCCAGCAGTGCAAGCACTCCGCGGCGGCGCAGGCGCCGGGGCGTCGAAATTTGAGGGGTGTGAGAGCCTGTTGGTTATTCCGGCGCCCCTCTCGCTACGTTTGGATATGAAAGGGGCCGCTGCAGGCAGACAGTCGAAAAGGAAGGTCGGGGGAAAAGCAGGGAAGCCTGTGGAAGCGCGGGCGGGGCGCTGCCATGCGCTGAGCAGGCGGCAGCGCAGTCGCTCGCGCGGCGGCGCTGCCGGGGCGCGGGGGCACCCCGGGGCGCCGCGCCGAAAGCCGAGGCGCTCGCGCCGCCCCGGGCGCGGCCGGCCGCGCAACGGGCGGCGGCCGGGGCGCCTCGAGCGCACGAAGCCGGCGCTCGCGCTGGCTGCCGGGCGCAGGAACGCCCCACATTGCGCGCGTGCGGAGGCAGCCAGCGCGGGGCGCGCTGCTGCTGCGGCCGCGCAGCGAAAGGGCAATGGGGCGCGGATAAATGCGCACGCCCCGTGCCCCAACAAACAAGAGGCGCAACAACACACGTACACCGCTCTCTCGCACGGCCCCTGCACACTTGGCATGCCTGACTCTGAAAAACCTGTGCAGTGTGTGGCAGGGGCCGTCTCCTGAGCCGGCCGGGGTTCATCCGTCGCTCAACCAAACCAGTCGTCCCGAACAACACGCAACTGGCTGAATCAACCCGCCGCCGCCGGCCCCGCACGCCGCGCCCCGCGGCGGCCGGCCGACGCGCTGCGCTGGGCGCTCCTAGACTTTGTCGCGTCGCGGGCGAGGCCGCCAGGGCCGCGCACTCACCAGCGTGCTGCGGCCGCGCAACCCTAACGTCAATCTGGATCAAAGAGTGATAAGGATTCCCGCTGGCTCGAGCCGCCCATGACGTCACGATGACGTCATAACAAAAGAAGAATGGTTGCGGTGCCCAGCGCACACGAATCAGAGAATCTCGGATAAGAAACTGCGTCCGCCACGCCCACCGCCGGCGCGCGCACCACACCCGCGCCGAACCCTCGGAAACCCACCGGCCAGGCGTACCGGCGTCGCCCGCGCGGGTGGTGCTACCCTCTGTGCCCTCAGAACGCGGCCATGGCGGCCTCATCATAAGAGAGGAAGCCCTCCCCCTCTGTCAGTACCCTGCACACCGCCTCGCCGGTGCCGGCGTCGCGGTCGATCTCGAGGACCGCCACGGGCGCGTCCAGCACGCCGCTGCTCATGCCCACGTCGATGCGCCACACCTTGCCGTCGCACTCAGAGTTGGCGCCCCGCATCTGGCGGGCAAAAGAATCAGTGGGGTTTTGCGGGTGGTTTGTCTGTGTCTGTGAGTCCGATCTCACCAAGCACAAAGCCGGGGGTCGGCCGGCAGTCGGCCGGGCGGGAGGGCGCCCGTCACGCCCCCACGGCATCCCTGCGTTTGATCGCGGCTGTGCGAGCCAGCATGCCCCCGGCAGCAAAACGCGTTAACCACGGGGGCAGGGGACGCCCAGGCTCGGGCGCGCGAGCCACGCACATGCCCTGCACGCTGCTTGAGCCCCCCCAAACACACACACACAAAAACACACACACACACATGCACGCGCGCGTTGTCGCACCTGCGGCGTGTGTCCGACTACGAGGCGCTTCGCGCCGACCAGCTGCAGCGCCAACGACACCTGCTTCGACGCCTGGAAGCGGTCGACTGAAAACATGGGGGGGGGGACCGGGGGCGGGGGCGCGACGCACAGTGCAAAGGTCAAGGGTCGCCGCGTGGCAGCACAGACAAGATGATCGGCGGCTGCCAAAGCGCCACCAAGCGGGATGAAAACATTTGCCGGCGGCGTGCGGTCGCGCGAAGGCCCCCACCGCCGAGCGACTCCTCTAGCTGGCAGCTCCCGCGTCACCTCCCACACGCAGCCGCATAACTGCCTGCAAGGCCCCCGCCCGTAGACCTTCCCTGGCACCCCCTCCCCGCCCTCGCCCCCACCCCATCCCGCAAACGCACTGGGGTTGATCCACTTCTCCACGCTGAGCTGGCGGCTCCACATGACAGACTTGCCGTCCCCCATGGCCGGGAACGGCGGCCCAGCAAAGCCGTCCTCCACGCGGTCGCGCCGCATCCAGGCCGCCACCTCAGCGTTGATCCGGTCAATGCCATACGCGACTGCGGGAGTTGGTGTGGGTTGACGTCAAAACATGCGGGCGTGAAGGGGACGTGCGCACATGACAGCAAGGCGTCTGTTGCGAGGCTCCGCCACCCACCCACCCCCTTTACACACATGCACTTACACACATACACACGACCACATACACACATGCATGCGCGTGCACGCACATACACACAGGGATGCACATCCAGCCACATGCCCTCAAAGCAACCCACCGTGGTTGGGCAGCAGGCCGCCGTGCGCAAAGGCTGTGTCGTTGACGATAAGGATGGTGGGGTTGCGCGACATCATGCGCGCGACCCTGCCGCCGGGCAAGAACAGCGCCGCACGCGCCTGGGGTGGGGCGGAGCAGGTAGGGAGGCCAGTTGGAACGGCAAACAATGGCAGGGGCGGCCGAGGCTTTGCCACAGGCGAGCAAACGGTCTGGCCGATGCACACCCTGCAGCACCCTGGGGCTGGGGGCACCCGCATGAGCGGCAGCAGCAGGCAGACCGGAACAGCAGCGGCAGGAGCAGCAGCAGCAGTGGCAACAGCGGCAGGAGTAGCAGTGGCAGCGGCGGCAGCAGCAGCGGAACGGGCAATAACGATAGCAGCAGCAGCGGCAGCAGCAGCAGCGGCGGCGGGGGCGGTGGCAGCGGCGGCAGCGGGTGTGGCGGCGCCGGCAGCGGCGGCGGCGCCGGCAACAGCCGCCCCGCACCTGGATGCAGCCGTCCCAGTTGCGGAGCGCCACCTCCCGGGGGATGCCATACTCCACTGCCGATTCGATGAACGCCCCAGGGGTGACGTACCTAATTTGGCGGCAGTTGAGGAGTCGGGGCGCATGGTGAACAGAGGTGCAGGC